AGTGTATCTGTCTTTCACATGAAGAAGCATTTGGCTCATCTCTATTTATCCAGCCTGAAGGAACTTGGTTTCCTCCAACAGTTTCTTAAATTATTCCAGAGATATTGCCTCATTTAGTACATTTATAAGTAGACCTCATGTGTTGACTAATAGAGCTGAAGAATTTTCTAACATTACTTTTAAGTTCTGGCAGTTTAAAACAAGACAAGAGGCCATCACTTTATACATTGCCCATTTTGAATAGCTCAATCAGATTCTGGCTCAGCTTGCTCAAAGCAAGGCTTAATAGCTCAAAGTTTTTAAGTTGGTCTTATCTTCAGTGCCCTTAAACAATCTATTTAAATCCATATAACTAGACATGAAAGATTAGAGTTACAAAGGGAGTTGTGAAGCAAGGGCTTTTTTCACTGAATGGAGATGAAGGGCATCATGATAGCAGGCCTTCAAGGTTAGGAGTAATATGGTACGGGAAAGCTGTTTCTGATGGCTGACAGAGGTAATAAGACAAACTATACAGGAGGTTATAAAAACCTTCATACAGAGGGTGGGTGGAAGGTGGAACCTTCTTCCAGGAATATCTATTAAAAGGGTGCCCTCAAATTGTTAAGGGGATATGTAAGTTGTTTGAAAAACAAAGAAGAGTATGGTTACTTGGATTAGCATGGTGATGATTTCTTGAAATTTACACCTGGCTAACCACAAAAAAAAGGGCCAGGATCATTAAAGCATCAACCTTCCTACGTATGTTGGCACACTACCACAGTATACATTTACTGGTTTTAACCACATAAGTAAGAAGGCTGTAAATTTAAAAACAAGGTCTATGAGTTTTAGCATACTCTGGTTGAATCCCACGAGAAGAACTGAAGATATAACATCGGCTGACACCCTCACTTATGGAATCAGTATTATTATTCTACAATTCTTCATAGGTGTTAAACTTGCTCTAAGTACTTAGTCGGCATTGAAGATCTCAAAACTCTTATAAAGCAAGTTCTTCGGGTGTCCTTAATCAAAACCACATACTGGAAGTCTTTGTTCAACAACGGCTACCAGTTTACACAAAATTATATTAAAATTATTCCATCGTGAAGGATCCTAACATTCAAACTGAATAAAGATTTTGAAGTTTAAAGTCAGGACCACTGTTCTCAAGCACAACAATTGAATTTTAGAAATACTGAATCTTTTCCAGATAGACCACATATTTTACAAATTTCCAGAATGAACAATGCATACATCCAAAACAAAAGGATTTTTCCATTGTTACAAAGATTTAAAGGAAAATCATTTTCTTTTTGAAAATAAGAACAAGCTACATACCAACTGCCAGAAAGCAATACAGATGAAAATATGAAGATGTCTTTTTGTACAAATTTATTGTTTGAAGAAAAACAACTGAAAGATTTTGTTTATCACTGCATGTGTGGAAAAATGTTAAAACAATCCCAGGATTTTAATTATCTATCTTGCTTCAGGATCTCTGGCTTGCAATTAATTCCTGTCCTTGCATCATGTACAGAAAATCAACTTTAAATTTACTTTTCTTCCTTATTTCCCAGACACAAATATCTTTCTTGAAAAGGCAACTAGATAGTCACTTCAAGTACAGTGGTTGACAACTTCCAATAGCCATTTGTGATAAAGCTGCTCTGCTCTAAAATAACAGTTTCTTTGCATTCACACTCCACTGATACCAACTTATTAGCCAATAATCAAAATATCATGATTTACAATTTGGCGTACACACTTGCATGTGACAACAATCAAAACTGTGCAATTGTTGAAATATTTTAATGATCTAAAATAAAAAACTTGTGATGGGTGTAATGGAAATAATTAAAACAAATCATCAATGCCACTGAAAAGATCACAACTTGCCAATGTGCAGGAACTATTTGCCAATTCAGAAGGCTGTGCTTCAGGAGGTCTGTGGATTTGGTTTGTGATCTGGAGTGCTACAAATACTCGTGCAACGACATGCATGCAAACTCCACTTACTTTAGTGCAAAAATCAGCATTCCTACTGCATGCTAATATTCTGAAAATTGCCATGCACTCCTTTGAATTAAGACAATTTGACCTGCATTTGACCATGGTTGGGGTGGGTGGCAGAGTTTTAAGTTTGTGCAAGTATGCCTCAAATACATTTGCAGAAAATATGACCTATTTTCAGAAATCAATGACACTCAGCCCTAAGATGCGACTGTTCCTCTTAAATTTCTGCTTCAAAATCCCTCCTTCTAACTTGTTCCACAACTTTGCCACTCCTAGGGTGAAAAAGTTGAATTCCTTTCTTACTCCAATCTTAACTTGCTTTTTAAATAACGTTCCACCCCCTCCAACCCAACTACTATTCACTGTCTTGAACCTCAACAAATGAATCATTTCTGAAGAATGCTGTTTTTATGAAGATCAAGAGGGAACATCTGATTAATCAGTGATGGACTCATTTCACTTTGGTATTGGGAACATTGAAAAATGTGATCAATGCAAATATTACAATTTGTGTTATAAACAAGTTCAAATACTTGTTCAGAGTGTCTAAACCAAAGCGTCAGTTTTCCAAAACCAGAATACAGTTGGCTTAAAATGTGGATATTGCTTTTTCTTTTGTATGTAAAATGTAAACATAAACCAGTAGTATAAAAGTTATTTGATGAAAGCAAATGAACTGACATGACTATCTAACCAGATAGCTTCAAATACAAATTCCTGTCATTCCTAACTCCTCTTTGAACATTGGTTGTACAACCGTTATAAAAGACCATTACTAAAATGTCAATACGCACGACTAAGTGATTCTGATTGTCAATATACAGTATAAAATGGCACTTAAAAATGTGTAACTGATAACTGGTATAGTAAACATATACACTTGCATCTTTTCTCCTCATTAGTATAAATTTGTGTGTGGGTTTAAGTAAAATAAGCTCAAGTTAAATTTTATAAGCTATGAATAACAGAACACCACTTAGAAAGATTCCAGGATTGTTGGACATTTCAAAACCATTCTTGTAACATGAACTAAATCAAACCTGATATTTTGAAACACACTTCTTATGCCACACCTGTTAAAGTGTTTCTATTTCCCGACCTCAAAATTTATCCAAAATGTTGACTCATTTTTGGGTATAATTGTAAGATTATCAGTTTTCCTTTAGTACAAATAGCTCCTTGGCTGACATCAGATCCATGCAACAGTAAAATTTCCAAAAAGTAGCTTATTGTCTGTAAAATGGGCCCCATTGGACTATCCTGAAGTTGTGAAAGATATTGGAAATCTTTCCTAGACCAGGAGCATTGGGAGACTGGTCAAGTATGAGGGACATCATAGACTCAAATCCCATTCCCACTCACTAGCATCTCCTCCAAGTGGCCATGCTGTATATAATTCACTGGTAGGCTATTCAATTGCTTGGGGATCATAGCAAGGTATCTTCCTCCTCTTGCTCTAAAAGCCTGCACAAATACCTGACAGCAACAAGAATATCAAGTACTTGGTGACATTGCTTATTTCAGTAAATAACATAGTGGCACTTCTTTTCTAGTGTGAATTTAATAAATGTATTGAAGCACAAATGCTGGATTGCACCGTGGCTGTGAGAAAGTAGAACTCTGCTTTACTAGTTATTGACAACGCAGCCATTTAACAAATGTGACAGGTTAATTAGTTTAGTCTGCAAAATCTTCAAAGGGTACAATTTGTGATGGGGCTTGGGGGTTCAAGTACATCTTTCTGCAGAAATGGTAAATCAGCTGATTTTGTCAGCTCATAATTACTGCAGGGCCTTTCTTTTCTTGACTATGCTATTTATATTGAGGAAATTTGGATTAGGACACAGTTAATAGATACAAGGTCTTCTTTATGATACAAATCAGTTTGACAGTATTTAAATTTTAGTGTTCTGTTCCCATATTGCTTTTAAGGGAAAGAAAAGTTTGAGAAGTTTCCAATTGTTGTTTCAATCAACATGAATCCAAAAGGTAATTTGGTATAGAATCTCTCTTTCCTTCTGTAAATTAGGAAGTATTAACTTTGACAATATTGTCCCTCTCGCCATGGTTATACTAAACTGCTTGAATCATTGCAAGATAATCAAGTTTTCTGTTGAGGTACCAGCTCTGGTAACAAATGGAACGTTCACTTTTTCAAGGCATTACCTAAACTTAACAATAAGTGCATGAAATGAATGACTGCATGGATGCAGTCCTATTCCCTTCCTTCATTAAATACCAGTTGGCATTAGAAACTTCAGTGCTGTGTCCATAATTAGATCACATTTTTCATCATGGATTGGGTTTGCAAAGAACTTGGACAGTGTTGACAATTTGGAAGTCGAACTGGTTGCATGTCAGTCAATGGGAATGCCAGTATTAGGAGATTAATATGAACTGAGACTATGGAATATTGAAGGGCATCGGCGCAAGTATTTATTTAGGCATGAATGTGTTATGGTACAAAACATTACCAAAACCTAGTAAGAACTCTGCAGTGCTGAATTTTTTTCTGTGAAGAACATTCAGGGAGACTTGCCTGGAAACAAAGTATCTTACTGGGCAAAGTACTCTCTGAAATTGGAGACAATAAGGACTACTGATGCTAGAAGCCAGAGTACATGGGGCGGCATGGTGGCTCAGTGGCTAGCACTGCTGCCTCACAGCACCAAGGACCCGGGATCTATTCCACTCTCGGGCTGTGTGGAGTTTGCACGTTCTCCCCGTGTCTGCATGGGTTTCCTCCGGGTGCTCTGGTTTCCTCCCACAGTCCAAAGATGTTCAGGCTAGGTGGATTGGCCATGCTAAATTGCCCATAGTGTCCAGGGATGCATAGATTAGGGGATGGGGTCTGGGTGGGATGTTCTGGGGGTTGGTGTGGACTAGTTGGGCCGAAGGGCCTGTTTCCACATTGTAGGGATTCTATGGAATCTATATGGGCGAGAGGCTGGAAGAGCACAGCAGGTCAGGCAGCATCTGAGGAGCAAGAATGTTGAGGGGTTTCAGCCCAAAATGTTTACTTTCCTGCTTCTGGGATGCTGACTGACCTGCTGTGCTTTTCCAGCCTCACATCTATAGACTCTAGTCTCTGAAATTAAAGTGTTAAGATTCGCAGACATCTGCCCAATTTAAGAAAACGGAAAGATTTGTGGAGGATTGCTTACAGTGTAAGCAGTAATTATATATATTCTTTATATAGAGCTCAACCTGGTTAAAGTTTGAACAGCAGTTAGGATGTAATCTTGGGAGTGGAAACTTGAACAGGCATGTTACGGCCAACAAAACAACAATTCTACTTCAGTGCACTGTACTGTTTCATCGATATTTTAATGTCTTTAGTTCAGCCAGTTAAGTTGCTTCATACTTAAATTTTTCATGTGCAAGAGTACTGTACCACCAAGTTAATGTATTTGTCCAAAAAGTTACATGTGCCATACTACAAATTCCTCAGTTAACCTACAGGATTAGTCCTGCCCTATGTAAACACTGATCATTATGATTATACTACAACAATGGAGAGCTAATTTTCCTACAAACATGTACCAATGATCAACTAATTGATATAACTGCTCCACCACACAAGAATAACTAAACTTGGGTTTCAAATATCGCTAGGAATGCTCACAGTTCAATATACAAAAGGCTCAATTTGAGCTCGCATACTTGATCACGCTTAAGATTATGCTAAATTAGAGATCGCTAAGAAATCAGACATTTTAGAAATCAACCAGCGTGCATATTAACTTAAAACAAAAGATTGAACACTAAACTTCAGCCAGGAAACCCAATTAAGTGACAAACTACATTCCACTTCACCATAATCTTGTAGTACAAATAAGCTACTCTGGACAAAGGACAAGCAATCAATGTCATACTTAAAAACAAAATAAGATCCATTTCAAGACAAGTACATCATAAAATAGTGCTTTTAAAAATGTTTTTTTAAAAAGTCTACAGGAAACAGACAGGAATATTGCTCTGACAATAAATTGGATGGAAATCATTTAAATATTGCCAAACATTGCTTTCCTTGATAATGCAAGAAGCTGAATGAAAAGCTGATATGCAGATGATAAATCAAACTCCGTTTTCATCCAGAAAGTTGTTGTGGCTGGTGTTTGATACAGTGTGATTGGCTATCCACGTAATAGTCTCTTCATACAAATCTTCACCTAGGGGTCAGAATGAAAAGAAAAAAAACAAAGTCAATTGCAGAGAATCCAGCCTATAAATAACTTAATAGCTTCGTGGAAGCTAACTTTAAACTGCCCTGGTCCTTTATTAAGTTTCACATCAATTTTTTTTAAATGCTAAATGTAAATAGGATTCCTTGTATTCTGAATATCTGATCTCATCAAATTTGAAAAACAAACCACCATACAGTATTGGTTAAGCTTGAATAATTCATTTAATTAGCTTGTACTTATAGGTTGAACTAGATCTAGAGAAGAAATCTGAACAATTGCTGTTTCTTTTAAAAGAAACTGGTTAGTCCCTGTAAGTTTATTTGAATCAAAATTAGAAAGGCATACCCAATTTTTGTCAGAGTCAAGTCTGTTGGAGAAACAGCTATTATGCAGCAACATCCTGGAACTCCCTTCTTAACAGCAGTGTGTCCCTCCACTACAACGACTATAATGTTTAAAGAAGGTAGAGAACCACCACCACCACCTTCCCCAGGGCAAGTATGGATGGGTCATAAATGCTGACCCAACCAGAAACATCAAATTAACAAATTTAAAAACTAACAAACAATCACGTCATTTTAACAATGTACACAAATCCATCCTGTTGTACTTTAGGACTTGACAATGATTGCAAAGCCACTTCTCTTAGCAAATGCAGTCACGAGTTATGAATGAATTAACATTTACGTAACATTCCATGCCTTCAGAGCAATGCAAGGGCAAACAGCAATCCAAAATGTTACTTTACACTTCCATACAAGGATCATGAATCAAAATACAAACTTTTGTCCTCCATTTGGTTTAAATAGCAACTATCAAAAGGTCTACTGAACCAGTGGACAACTGGAGTACACAAAAGAAGGACCTCAATTCCAATTATTAGTCACTATAATATGATACAAAACACTAAAGCTCAGTATTATGAAGAATTAAGCCCTAATAATCTAAACTTCGCACCAGTTAAGTTCAGGTTAATTGCAAATACTATTTCATGCAATGAAATCACAAACATGCTTTTGAAAACCTGATTGTAAACCTCCCCATTTCAGGAGGTAAGCTGTGTAGGAAGCACTGCAATAGTACAAGGCTGACTTGCATCATTAAGCCAATTGCAGTTAATGAGAAATGCCACTTGTTGTCTCTAGCATTTCTGTCCCTGTTCCTAAGAGGGATTTGGACGAACCCTGGAAGAGATAACAAGAGGCCAAGGTTTATCAAACTTGCATTCTGTCATGATCAGCTCAACAGTATAGTGGGTAGAAGATGGGAAATTGGCTAGGACAGCATTGGCGTAATGGATGGATGTACTCCATTAATTCTTACTCCTTTGTTTCAAGATTAACCTTACCAGGAAAAGCACATAAAAAGTGTTCCTTGAAATCCCAGAACATTTACTGACTTTGAACCTAAGTCACATCTTCAAAAAGAAAACCAGCAAGTTAGATTGATCAGATCTCCTTCACTAAACCATACTGCCTATCTTTTATGGTTATTTTCAATTTAGAAGCCCATCTTTAATAAAGATTGGCAGAACTTTAAGGAATGATGTACATCTATTAGGTTTGTTTGTAGTTTTTTTAGTTACTTCTTTTTTTTAAAAAGAGGAAATGTAAACATCCATCTTTCCCTAGTGTTCAGACACCTCTGCAATGTTGAGATTTCTGGAAGATTTATGCCAGAGCTTCTTCATCTTCCTCCCTCATTACTTAAGACTGGTGCTACAGCTTATTCAGACCCAGAGATTTATTCACTCAAGCTTGACCAGCTGGCAGTTTGGCTAAGTACATGGGAGAAGGTGCCTCAAGCCGTAAATTTATTGAACTCTATTTTGAGTCCGGAAGGCTGTTCCCAAGCGGAAAATGAGGTGCTGATATTCTGCTTGCGCTGAGCTTTGCTGGAACACTGCAGCAAGCCTGAGACAGACATGTTGGCCAGGGAACAGGGTGACATGTTGAAGTGGCAGGCAGCTAGAAGCTCAGTATCTTTTTTACAGATAGAATGTAAACGTTCTGCGCTGTGGCCAGCCAGTCTATGTTTCGTTTCCCCAACGTAGAGGGGATCATGTTGTGAGCAGTGAATATAACAGTCTAGATTGGGTGAAGTGCAGCTAAAGCACTGCTTCACCTGGAAAGAGTGTTTAGTTTTTGGATGCTGGGGAGAGAGGAAGTAAACAGGCAGGTGTTACACCTTCTACGTTGTAGAGGAAGATGCCGTGGGGCAAGTGGGAGTAAGGAGAAGTGGACCAGAGCTTCCCAGAGGGAATAGTCTTTGTGGAAGGCTAACAAGGGAAGGGAGGGGAATAAGGGTCTGTGGTGGCATCACACTGCAGGTGGCGGAAATAGCAGCTAATGATCCTTTGGATCATGGTGGGATGATAGCTGAGGACAAATGGTACCCTGTCGTTCTGGTGGGAGGAAAGAGAGGGGTTGAAGAGTGAAGTGTCGGAAATGGGCCCTGTCACTATGGTGCTGGGGGATCCTTGGTTGAGGAAGGTGGTGGATATTTTGGAGGCCCTCTCAAAGTTGGCATCATCAGAACAGATGTGATGGAGACAGAAGAAACGGAAGAATGAAATAGAGTCTTTACAGGAAGTAGGGTGTGAGGATGTATAGTCAAGGTAACCATATGAGTAGTGGATATTAGTGACCAGCCTATCCCCAGAAGTGGAAACAGGGATGCCAAAGAAGAGAAGGGAGAAGTCAGAGTTGGACCAGCTGAACGTAAGAGCAGGGTGGAAACTGGAAGCAAAATTGATAAACTTCTCCAATTCTGGACAAAAGGAAGAAGCACTGATGATATCATCGCAATACCGGAGAAAGAGTTGTGGATGGGGGCCAGAATAGGACTGGAACATGGTATGCTCCACACACCCCACATACAGACAGGTATAACTGAGGCCCATGCGGGTACACATGGCCTCCCTTTAACATGAGGTCATTTTTAGAGATCCCACTTTAACCCTTGCTTTCTTATTACAGAACAAAAACAAACAAGTTGTCAATACTCAGTTCCTACTGCTACATTCAATTCAACTTGTATCATTGATACCCGATTAATATTTCACGTATGAGTCTTTTCTAAATCTGTACTATTTTACTTCATTGCCTTCTTTGAGGAGTTGCTTGGTAGCTCCATTTGGAGTACCTTTGAACTTATACCTTTCCCTTGAATAGGTAGACATTGAATACCACTATCTTAAAAGAATTGCTTCTACTTTTAAAATACTTTTCCAACCATATTCAGATATTCCAGCTTACTCTAGCAAAACTGCTGAAGCAATGAAGACTGGTGTTCTTAAAACCTGGAAATCTTGTTTGGTCTTTCTGACCTTTTCAATTCTCAGTATAAGAAGTACAATCACATGATCACAGGTAATTAAAACCTCACCCAGCATTGTTATGGTTTTCTTGGAAGACTGTCTAAGTCATAACTTAAATCCGGGATATTTGATCACCTTGTTGGCTCTTTTAAAATCTGAGTCATAAAACATTCTTTTCAGTAACTGTAATCCTTCCTTGTCTGCCCGGCAGAAGCATCACCACTCCAACAACCTCTGGCAACTTGGAAATCTTCCATTAGCATAGTTAAGTCACTTACTAATTACTTTGCCTATCTTATCACAGTTTGAAAGGCCTTTGTCTATAGTAACAAAGGAGCAGAGGTTCAGTCCACCGAGGCCTTTCAAAACTCATTGAAAAAGCACCAGAAAAAGAGAAAATAAGAAAATACCTAACCAAGGGGAAAATTTTCTTGCAGAAAGCCAGCACAGATACAACAGGCCAAAGAGCTTTTTCCTAATCTGTGATAACAGTGTGGAGCTGGAGGAGCACCGCAGGCCAGGCAGTTAGAGAGGAGCAGGAAAGTGACGTTTCGGATCAGGACCCACTGTGTTATCTCCGACTCCAGCATTGGCAGTTCTTACCATCTCTTTCCCTAATCTGTAACTATTTTATGATTTATCTATTAATTCTGTCTAATGAATCTTTTTTCTATCCTATTCATTTTCATATCTTCATTTGGTGGAGCCTCAATCCTGGAGAAAGTGCATAGATGATTAAAATATCCAGCCCGGAAGAAACAGCAAGGCCTCTAGATAGAAATTGTCCCATTGGGCAGACACAGCATGGGTTCATGAAAGGCAGGTCATGCTTATCGTACTGAAATTCTATGAAGACATTATGAGTGCAGTGGACAACAGGCACCAAGTAGATGCAATGTATTTGGCTTTCCAAAAGGCATTCAATAAGGGGCCGCACAAAAGGCTGTCGCATAAGGTAAAGGCGCATGGTGTGACAGGCAATGTATTAGCATAGATAGAGGATTGGTCAACTAAAGGGAAGCAAAGAATGGGGATAAATGAGTGCTTTTCTGGTTGGCGATCAGTGTTGCAACCACAAATGTTTACAATTTATATGGGTGCTTTGGAGTTGGGGACCACGTGTAGTGTGTCAAAGTTTGCGCATGACACCAAGATGATCGGGAGAGTAAAGTGTGCAAAAGACTCTGAATGTTTGCAGAGGGATAAAGATAGTTTAAGTGATGTGCAAAGGTCTGGCAAATGGAGTACAATGTCGATAAATGTGAAGTCATCCATTTTGGTAGGAATAAACAGTAAAAGGACTATTATTTGAACGGTAAAAAATTGCAGCACGCTGCTGTGCAGAGGGACCTGGGTGTCCTCGTGCATGAATTGCAGAAGGTTGGTTTGCAGGTACAACAGGTAATTAAGGCAGCAAATGGAATTTTGTCCTTCATTGCTAGAGGAATGGAGTTTAAAAGTAGGGAGGTTATATTGAAGCTGTTTAGGGTGCTGGTGAGGCCACACCTGGAGTACTGAGTGCAGTTTTGGTCTCCTTACTTGAGAAAGGACTGGAGGGGGTGCAGAGGAGATTCACTAGGTTTATTCCAGAGTTGAGAGAGTTGATTTATGAGGAGAGACCGAGTAGACTGGGATTATATTCAATGGAATTTAGAAGAATGAGGGG